AGGCTGAGGCAGGAGAATCACTTGAACCCAGGAGTTGGAGGTTGCAGTGAACCGAGATAGCGCCACTGTACTCCAGCCTGGGCAACAGAGCAAAACTCCGTCTCAAAAAAAAAAAAGAAAGAAAGAAAAAAAGACAATGGCCCCTTGTCAAACAAATATCCTCTCATCGCAGTCCCCACCTCTCCTCCCTGCCAGGCCTAAACAGCCCTTTCTGGATGCCCCAAATGTGCCTCCCAGCGGTGAAAACCATAGAGGCCCCTGGGTTATCCTCCCAGCCTGGTTGAACTTTCAGTGAGACAGTTTTTAACTAAGAGGGGGTGGGGTAGGGAGACCTAGCAGACCACAAATTCTTCTTAACCTTAAATTTTCAACAAACTAGCCATTTGTTTGTTTAACTACTAGGCTGTGGGATACTAATAAATCAAACCATTGGAATTTTAAAAGTCCTGAACTTCGCACTAGGGAAATGAGTAGGGGAAGGGCTTGGCAGACTGGTGAAGGTTTTGGGGGCTTATTTTTGGGAGATCAGGGGATACCAAGCCACTGTCAGGAGCCAAGGAGAGTTCAGGGAATGGGACATCACAAGAAGTCAGGAGTTGGTGACAAAGGGGTTAGATAGGAATCTGATATGAGGCCACTAACTGAGCTGGCCACTAAAACCACTTATAATCTTATAATCTCTACAGATCCAGGCTGTATTTGACCCCTCAGCCCACCCCAAGTGACTCAGAAATACCAGGAATTAAAGAATCAGTAGAGAGGCAGGGACTAGGAGAGATCATATCGTTAATTACTCGGGCCTGCCCTTTGAAGACAAAGACTACCCTCCCATTTTATTCTGCTACCGTCATCCCTGTTTCTCCCTCTCCTCTCCCCAACCCAAGGGGGATGTGAGCCTTGACTTCTCTTCACAGTGGGGACTGGGTTTGCATTGGGCAAATCGTGGCCTGGCAAATCTCCCCTCAGGACCAAAAGCACACATCTGCAAGGTGGTTCAGGGCTACAGTTAGGGCTTCATGATGCAGGAACTAGAAATGTTCCATCTCCCCTCCCCGCTCGGGGTGTGTCTAGCCATGCTTCTTTTATCCTGAATAATGAGCTATGAATGCAGGAGGTGCCTTTTAAAATATCTGTCTATGATAAGAGTTTTCTATGTGTGGACAGTGAGAAGGGAGAGAGAGAGAGAGGAGGGAGACAGGAAGAGGGAGGGAGAACAAGGAGAACATTCAATTCAGTCTGGCTACCCAGCCCCCCAGTCCAATTTCATAGCCAGGTCTGACTAACTTGGTAAATTGCCACAGTGTGCGGAAATGGTTCCTCACACAGACCATGTTTCCAGCCAGGGTCTGCTATATCCATTAGCAGCAAAGACTCTCGGAGAAGAGGCCCCCTTTTTCCTCTCCTAAAGGAACAGGAAGTATTTGGGTCCCAGGAAGAATTTGATGAGGTGAGGCCTTTGCCATGGGAGGTGGCAGACTTGGCCAAGCAGTGGAATGTATCACGCCCCCACCTCACCCAAGGTTGGGGTTCTGCTTAACTGTAAACGGGGCCAGCACCTTGGAGGTGGGAACATAGTGCGGCTCCCACATCCTAACTCACCTCCCCTTTCGAGGGCACTGAGGTTTGAGCTACATTTTAGCCCATCTTCCTATGTGCCTGATGAATTTTCCAAGTACATCCTTACTCCCAACTCCCTTCTGTTCTGTGAGCTCCCTGCCGAATGCCCTGCAGCTCCTAGGGAGTAGAGGTCCTATCTCCCCAGCACCCAGAGTGGGCACCCTGGCTTTCCAATTCTAAGAATTCTCAGAGGCAGGGCGCAGTGGCTCACACCAGTAATCCCAGCACTTTGGGAGGCCAAGATAGGTGGATCACGAGGTTAAGAGATCAAGACCATCTTGGCCAACATGGTGAAACCCCATCTCTACCAAAAATACAAAAATTGGCTGGGCGTGGTTGCGGGCGCCTGTAGTCCCAGCTACTGGAAAGGCTGAGGCAGGAGGATTGTTGAAAGCGGGAGGCAGAGGTTGCGGTGAGCCGGGATCGCGCCATTGTACTCCAGCCTGGGT